GCCGAGGGCCTGGGCGCGCTCTGGAAGGGCAACCTGACCGCCTGCCTGCGCCTCTTTCCCTACAGCGTGGTGCAGCTCGCCTCCTACCGCCGGTGAGGAAGGGAGCGCTGGGCGGGGGCGGGCGATGCCCAGCGGTGACCTGGGCACGGGCCGGGCGCAGCCCACGCACCTGGCCGGGGCGGCGAAAGAGGAGCAGCTGCCTTTGCGGGGCGCGCTCCCTGGGCGGGCCTCAGCCTGGGTTGGGAGGTTGGGCTGACCCGTTTGGGGAGCCGAAGGGGACCTGGAGCGCGCGGGAGCAGGAGGTGGGTTAATTCGGTCACCAAGCTGAACGCGGTGGGGTGGGGTGGGGGACACAGTCTCCTGACAGGAGGCAGCTAAGGAAAAAGGGATGATGCTCCGGAGATCGTTTGTCTTCCAGCCTTGCCAGCGTTTGTGGGTTTTATGGGTTAAGATTCCCGCTTCTTGGACCCTGTTCTGGAGGATTCTTAGCAAAAATGTGTTACCAAATTGCCCCCCCCCATACATAATCCTGGGAGGGAAAGCAAGAAAAAAATCGTGAAACTTTCCTTCCACGGGAGCTTCCGCTTTGATAATTCCTGCTTAATAAGGAAGTGATTTTTGGTTTCTTCCTGAAATCTTGCTAGGGTTATGCACAAACAGCTGATTCGAACACTTGGAAGGCTACCTTCACGTTGAGTCAGTTGGTGGTTTCAAAATCAGGGTTGTGGTTCCCCGTGTCAGCCTTCCTGCGGAGGCCAGGTCGGGAAACAAACTCCGCAAGAAATACTGGAACTTTCCTTCACGGAGCCTTGTTTCTCAGCCTCAGCCACTTTAAAAGGTGTGGACTTCTGGGAGCCAGCTGGGGAATCCTGGGAGTTGAAGTCCACATCTCTTCAAGTTGCCAAGGTTAGGAAACACAAGGCTACGGTTGCAGAATCTTGAAACCCTGGCCGAGTTCTCCTTGCCTCCCTCTTAAACCAAAGAGAGTTAAGGCAGACTCCATTTAGGTTTCTCTCTTCCCCCGCCCCCGGGCTTCAATCCACGTTTCGCTAAATGCCACGTTCCTTCTCCAAGGTCTTCTCTGTGGTTCTCTGCACCCAGGGATGAAAAATGACGACCCTTACCTTGAGATGGATCAGAGCTGAAGCTCCTGTGGAAGGAAGACTCCACAAAAAAGATGACTTCCTGTTGGCTTTTGACCAGAGCTGACTTCTCCCCCTGTTGATCTTGTCTTAGATGCGTAATGATGCTGATGGATGACTGGGGACACGTTTCCCAGTGGAATTCCATCGTAGCCGGGAGTCTGGCGGGGATGGTTGCGGCCGTTGCCACTTACCCGACGGAGGTTGTCAAGACTCGGCTCATTGTGCAGAATCGACTGGAACCTCCCTACAAAGGCATTCTTCATGCTTTGTATATGATTTATCAGCAGGAAGGAACCCCTGCACTTTATCGGGGTGTTTCATTGTCAGTATTAGGTATTTCATATTCCTCCTCTTTCCCCTGCAATTATCTTTGGATTGATTTAGCCTAGTGTTTTCCAAACTTGGCAACTTTGAGATGGGTGGACTTCAACTCCCAGAATTCTCTAAGATGTGTGGAATTCAGAATGCTGGCTGGGGGATTCTGGGAGTTGAAGTCCACCCATCTTAAAGTTGCCCAGCTTGAAAAACACTGATTTAGCCTTCGCTTCGGGACTTCAAAATTGTGTACATAACACTCCCTCCTCCACTTTTTCCCTCCATACAATCCTGTGAGGTAGGCTGGGCAGAAAGAGGGACTGCCTCAAAACAATATAATTGTCAGTGTAGTGATGACGAGAAGAAAATATGAAACTGATTGTCTCTGCTTATTTTATCTCATTCTTCCGTGGGGGAAAAAAAATCGAGAACAGCTTATACAAAGTCAGAGGGGGGGAGTCTCTGTCCATAGATCTGTAATCTAAATGACATGACCTAAAAGGATAAACAGATGGAGAGGGAAGAAGTTTAAAAACAACAATCCTCAAGCTTGGATGTGTTTTTTTTTTTAAATAGTAGATTTATTGACAAAGAACCCTTTTTAAATCAAACCCTATTTTAAATCAAAAGGGACTTTTCTTAGATCTCAGCCTCAGTTTATTACCCGTAAAATGGACGCATGAGAACTCTTCTGTGAGTCGCTCGTGCAGTTTTTCATCCTCCCAAGAACGACATGAGAAGTTTACCATTCTTCTAATATTACAGATGGGTTTCTATCGTATAGGGCAATGTTTCTCAACCTTGGCAACTTGAAGATGTGTGGACTTCAACTCCCAGAATTCCCCAGCCAGCCTGCTGGCTGGGGAA